TTATTTATTAAGTTATGTAAGACTTATCTCTCTAATTTTTTCAATGCATATGTTCCCAGATATTGTGATTTAAGTATTGAATAGAGCTTAAATTATCTAGATTGAAACTTCTCAGAACTCTTATTATATTCAAGAATTTACATTTTTATCTTGAGACTTGATTTCTTAATCAGTGAGTCTTATATTCTTTTTAATTGAATTGCTCAGTTTAGAAGTAACTTGTTAGCTTTTATATGTGTATGACTGATCTCTTTTAATCTTGATTCTGTGTTTATAACTGCTGTGTTCACTACTGTTGTATCTGTAATTACTGTTTTCTCTCTTATCTTTTGTGAAGCATTCTCTGAGATGCGCGGATGCAATTCATATAATAGATAGAATGATGAATACTTAAAGACTGTATACTACTGAATTCATATAACTAACAACATCTGTCTCAGATATTCATTTCATAGTCTTATGAACTTACTCACTAGATATTTTATCAGTATATTACTTAAGATTTCATTTAAGTGTTTTATCTTTCTATTTATTTGTAGATGATATAATGTTGTTCTATAATATCTTATCTATAACTGGCTTATGAAATGCCTCATTATTTCTTCTATGAGATTCACACTGTTCTTAGTTAGAATCTCACACAGTATTTCATAGTTGATATAAATCTTATTATATAGAAACTTCATCATCATCTTCTCTATCATTTCTGAAACTTCTTTTATAACTGATCAGTTAGTAGTGTAGTCAATAGCAGTGATTATTCAATAATTTTCATTTAATGTTCACAGTAATATGTCTATGAGGTTCATCTCTCATTGTTGAAATAATTATATCATATATTTTATCTGATATTATACATTCTCATATTCTAATTCTTTCTTAGATTCTTTTACAACCTGATAATTCAGATACTTGTGAGTGTATATCTGAATGTTCTCAGTCATGCTTAGTCAGTACACTCTTAATTTGAGTATACTCATGAGTTCAGAACTTTCAAGATGACTGAATTCCTTGTGCATATAAGTCATCAAATCATATCTAAATAAATGTTTTAAATAGAGAGCTTTCACATATTCTAGATCACAGTATAGCACAACATCATTTTTTAATTTTCTCAGCTTGAAGTTTAGAAGTATCTCTTCTACTACTTTTATAAGATGCTTATTATTTAATATCTTAACATTCTTTAAGTAAGAGATTATTACATTTACTTATTCTAATTTCTTGCATTCTCTCAGCATGTTTAATACAAACTTCTCTTATATCTAGTTCACAGAACTCTCACTCATGAAATCAGATCTGTGACTGATTACATCAGATATCACAGTGTCTGATCTCTTTCAGTATTTAATATGAAGATTGTATACTTAAAACTCTGAGATTCAATGTACTAAGTGTTTGAAGAGTTTTGTAATTAATTATAGATAGATAAGACTTTCATGATTCATGATCACTGTTATTATATATCTGTTATCAATATATCTATCTCACAACATCAGTATGTACTTCATTACTAGTAATTTCTTTTCATACACTGAGTAATTGAGCTCAGCATTTGATGGTTTTATCAAGTACTTAATAACATGCCGCTGGGGTTTTTCTCTTTGGTAAGAGCATCTCTGATAGCTTATTTAAATGTATCTATCTCAATGTAGAAAGATTTATTGTAACCTGATTAAATAAGTACTGAGAATGTTATCACATATTCTCTTAGTGTGAGAAAGACCTCTTTACATATGACATTGCAGATGATTGAATGAAACTTATTCTTTCACAGATTTATATCTATTTCTTCTAAGAGATCTGAGAGTGATACAGTTATTTATATGAAATTCTTAATAAATCTGCAGTAATATGAGATCAACTTAAGAAACTATTGTATATAATAAATATTTCTCAGCTACAGTCAATTTACTATGATATTGAATTTCTCTGAAATGAGATGTATATAGTCATTACTTAGAACATATTCTATAAACTTCAACTCTTCTGTTTCAAATACACACTTTATTGATTTAATATAAAGCTTATACTCTGTCAGAGTTATAAGCACTTCATTGAGATACTTCAGATATTTATTATATGAGTTTGAGAAGACTAGAATATCATTTATATATATAAGATATAAGATTTTATTCTGTTTATAAAGAATTATATTCATTATTATTTGAAAGATAGCAGATACATTTATTAAATTAAATAATATTATCAGAAATTTGAACTTTTTTCATTATATATTAAACATGGTTCATAGTACTGACAGTTTGTCTACACAGATCTGTCAGTATTCTGAGAGAAGATGAATCTTTGATAAATATCAAGTGTTTCTGACTGCATTCAACTGTTGTTAAATTCATGATAATGAGTATTTATTCTTGATTGTAAGCTTATTGAGTGCTTAAGAATTAATACATATCTGTCACTTCTCACTCATCTTTTTCATAAATAGAACTGAGAAGTCTCACATACTTGATAAGAATTATATAAGATTATATTCTAGAAGATCTGTGATCTGATACTTCTATTCTTCAAGATATGTCTGTGACAGAGAGTACACATTTTGATTGACTGATTTCACATTCTCTGTATTAATCTCATGTATAAATCCTTGTTTCAGCAGCAATTTCAGTGAAAGATCTGTTTAAAAGATCTTTTTATACTTCTTCAGAAGTTTCTTCATACACTTATTCTTCTGTATATTCTTTATCTTGATTTTCTCTGCTTTCAGATCCTGTATAATATACAGAATACTTTCAGATAAGGTCTTGTAAATTGTTCTCTTTGCTTATTAATGTGTAAGCAGATTTAACTCTTCTATACTAGAGATATAAAATGTCCTTCTTATATTAGTTAATAGAATTGTATAAACTGTTTTCTTTCTATTAATTAACTGTATATGACATGTACATTATTGAATCTGCAGATTGAATCTTTGAAATTAATTAAGTCTGAGAATAAGATTATATTTTATGTTCTGCAGCTCTTATACTCAAATATAGCAAGATCATTCTCTGAAGTACAAGAGAACTCTTACTCTTATAGATAATACTAAATATCAGTTATCAGACAATCTTATACATTGAAAATTCTTCACTCAGCAGATTTCTTTCAGTCTTCAGATTATATAATTATTAATATATTATATAGAAGCTTCTATATTTACTAATACTTTTATAGTTATCTCTTGATTCTTACTCAAGTACTCTCTATATATTAATATTTCAGACTCTAAGATATTGAGATGAGTGTTTACTACTTCATTCTTATCTTTATCTCATTTAGAAGCCTGCTTTCTCTTAATATTTACAGAATTCAGAGAGTCATCTAACATGATTATCACTTTCACTTTGAAGACTTTTTATAGAATATCTGTAAGAGTCTTCAAGCTCACTAATTCTGCTAGTTTTTTAACTCTGTTACTTCTCTTGACTGTATATACTATGTGTAATTCTTTATATCATGATTTTGATGATCACAGTTGAAGCAAGCTTGATGCTTATAATATCAAGATTTTCACTCAAAGAATCTCTTTTTTGAGAGATTCAGTACTTTAGCAATAGCATTCAAATCTAGATTCATTATATCTGAGTGAATGACTTGTATTATTGAAGTCTGATTATCTGTTCTCTGCTAAAGTATACTTGATTACAGTATTTTCTGTTATAGCCAGCTTACTTGTTCTTATATAATGAGAATATTATATACTTCTTTCATCATATCTGATTATAAGATTAAGCATTTTCATTTCACTCTTAACTTAGATGTAAGACTGTGAATGAAGATCTGTAAACAGAAAGATGTTAAAAGCTCTTTATTCAATATAAGATAGTGTAAACTGAAGTGTGTAAAGTATGATGTAAGATTACTTACTTATCTACACTCAGTGAAGTGTTTATAATACATATCTTATATATACACTTTCTTAAAGTTATGCAAGATTCATTTGAAAAACTTATTTCATATTCATAAAAATGAATATTACTTCAGATCTGTGAGATTCATTTTTTCATCAGTCATTTATAATAACTTTGCTTTTCTATATAGAAATGTGACAGATCTTAAGACTTGTTAAAATTTCATTAACTGTCTGCTCATAAGTTCACACTCAATTCAATAATATAATTATATTTGACTTAGTCAGCTAATTACAGTATCATTTTTTTAGTTGTTATTAAAGCTTGATAACTTCAGCAGATCTTCTGACTTAATATATTTTATACTTAAATTCTGATCATGTACAGTGATCTCAGATAATATGTATACTTCTGAAGAGATTGTAAATGATTATAATAAAATCTTTAGATTTAGTGTAATTATCTATCTTGTGGTTCGGAAGAACATACGACTGTCGGATAATAACGCGGCCGCTTCTGAACTTGCTTACAAGTGTAAAGGGGCCATAGCGGCCGCTAATTAATTTAGCATACAATATTACAATATATAAGAAGCCAGCATACGCCTGTAATCATACACTGGCTTCAGCAACCTTTGAATCACATCTGATAGCATGTCTAAAAACCGGTGAGAAGCGCAGGCTTCTCCAGAGCATGATAATTCTATCTACAAAGTGATTCATAGTTATCATGTCAGTGTGGTTCTAGAACACCTCAAAAAGATAGCATATAAAGAGCAGTGAGTGAAAGAGCATTCAATTGATACTGCTTCACTTATTGAGAGAAAACTCCACACTCAGGCGAATACCACATATGCAAACAGATGAGATGTGAGAAAAGAGATGAGAGCAATGAACCAGATTCAAAGAAGACTGCTCTTCATTCAATGAGATAAAAGAAGAGATGATCATCACTGAAGTCATACAATGATAACAGAAATCATATAATGATATAGCAATATAATGATATAGTGATAGAATAATATACTGATATAATAACACAGTAATATAACAATAGACATTATACAATTAACAAGAAATCACTGAAATGAATATCTTCTCTAACTGATATAAACAACACCTTTGTCTGCTACCTGAACTGAAAGATATGCAGAACCTCTCAGAGAGTTTACTCAAAGCAGTAAGAAAAGCAGCTGAAATCACTGAACTGAAATCAAAGCTTCATACACATACAAGGATTCTAAATGAGATCAAGGCCTTGTATACACAGTGGCAGGCTGAGACAGAAGTCAAACAACAATTGACATTCACTGTGAATAATGTATTCACTATGAAGAGCTTTGCTGACGCAATTATCATCATCAATAAGAATAGAGAAAACCAGATCTTAGGCCTGCAGCAGAAGATTGAATGATTACACAGACAGATAACTACACTGAATCTGAAGATTTCATCACAATTATTCACACTCTCTTCAGAAGTATACACATTATCAGAGATCACTGCACAGAATGAGAATCTGAGTATAAAATATATCAAGTGAGAAAATCTGCTGAAGTCACTAAGCTTCAATGATAACTGAAAAAATAATGCTGCAATCAGCTGACTAAGTCAGATGCAATCATATTATCAGATTGAATATGAACTCACAGACAAACAGTTAACAGAATTTCAACAAGTCTTAAGATCTGTCACATTTCTATATAGAAAAGCAAAGTCATTATAAATAACTGATGAAAAGATGAATCTCACAGACTCAGAGTAATATTTATTCTTATAAATATGAAATGAGTTTTTCAAATGAATCTTACATAACTTTGAGAAAGTAAATATATAAGACAAGTGTTACAAACACTTCACTGAGTGTAGATAAGTAAGTAATCTTATATCATATTTCACACACTTCAGCTTATACTATCTTGTATTGAATAAAGAGCTTTCAACATCTTTCTATTTATAGATCTTCATTCATGATCTTACATCTGAGTTGAGAGTGAAATGAAAATGCTTAATCTCACAGTCAGACACAGTGAAGAAAGTATACAATATTCTTATTATATAAGAATAAGCAAGTCAATTGCAATAGAAAATACTGCAATTGAGTATGTCTCAGCAGAGAACAAATAATCAGACTTCTATAACACAAGTCACACACTCAGATATGATGAATCTAGATCTGAATGTTATCACTAAAGCACTGAATTCTCTGAAAAAGGGATTCTCTGAGTGAAAATCTTGATATTATAAGCATTGAGCTTGCTTTAACTGCAGATATTAAAATCATGATGTAAAAGATTGCACTCAGTGTACACAGTCAAGAGAAGTAAGAAAGTTAAAAAACTAGAAGAATCAGTAAGCTTGAAGACACTCACTGATATTCTATGAAAAGTCTTCAAAGTGAAAGAGATGCCTGTATTAGATAATTCCCTGAATCCTGCAAATACAAAGAAGAAGCAGACTCTCAAATGAGATGCAGATGAGAAGAATGAAGTGAACACTTATCTCAATATCTTAAGACCTGAAATATTAATGTATAAGAGACACTTGAGTAAGAATCAAGAGATGACTGTAAAAGTGTTAGCAGACACAGAAGCTTCTACATAATATATTAATGATTATATGATCTGAAGATTGAAAGAGATTTATCAGATGAAGAATCTCTGACACATAAGATTATCTGATAATTAATATTTGATATCACCTGTAAGAGTAAGAGTTTCCTTGTACTTCAGAGAATAATCTTGCTATATTTGAGTGTGAGAGCTGCAGAACATGAAATACAACCTTATTCTCAGACTCAATTAATTTCAAAGGTTCAATTCACAGATTCAATAATGTACATGTCATATGCAGTTGATCAATAGAAAGAAAATGGTTCATACAATTCTATCAACTGATATGAGAAGGACATTTCACATCTCTGATATAGAAGAGTTAAATCTGCTTACATATTAATAAATAAAGAGAATGATTCACAAGACCTCATCTGAAAGCATTCTGTATGTCATACAGGACTCAGAAGCAGAGAAAACCAAGATAAAGAATATACAAGAGAATAAGCATATGAAGAAGCTTCTGAAGAAGCATGAGAAGATCTTCTGAACAGATCTTTCATCAAAATTGCTACTGAAACAAGGATTTGTATATGAGATTGATATAAGGGACACAAAACCAGTCAATCAGAATACATATTCTCTGTCACAAACACATCTTGAAGAACAGAAGTATCAGATCACAGACCTTCTAGAACATAATCTTATATAACTCTTATCAAGCACATGAGACTTTCCAGTTCTATTTGTGAAAAAGGCAGGTGAAGAGTGACAGATGTGTATCAATTATTGAGCACTTAATAAGCTTATAATCAAGAATGAATATTCACTGTCATGAATTCAACAACAGTTGAATACAGTTGAAAACACCTGATATCTATCAAAGATCAATCTTCTCTCAGAATACTGACAGATCTGTGTAGATAAATTGTCAGTTTCATGAACCACATTTAATACACAATGAAAGAAGTTTGAATTCCTGATAATACTATTTAGTCTGATAAATGCATCTGTCATCTTTCAAACAATGATGAATATAATTCTTTATAAACAGAATGAAACCTCATATCTCATATATCTTAATAACATTCTAGTCTTTTCAAACTCATATAATGAATATCTGAAGTATTTCAATGAAGTGCTTACAACTCTGACAGAGTATAAGCTCTACATCAAACTAATCAAGTGTGTGTTTGAAATGAAAGCATTGAAATTTGTAGAATATGTAGTGAGTGATGACTGTATACACTTCATTCTGAAGAAATTGAATGTCATAGTGAATTGACTGCAGCTGAGAAATGTACATTGTATACAACAGTTTCTTGAATTGATCTTATATTACTGCAGATTCATCAAGGATTTTATATGAATATCTGCATCACTCTCAGATCTCTTAAGAGAAATAGATATAAATCTGTGAAAGAAGAAGTTTCATTCAATTATCTGAAATGCTGTGTGTGAAGAGTCTTTTCTCACACTGAGAGAATGTGTAACAACATTCTCAGTGCTTATTCAATCAGATCATGATAAATCTTTCTACATTGAGACAGATGCATCTGAATAAGCTATCAGAGGCACTCTTCTACAGATGAATAAGAATAGCAAGCTGCACTCAGTGATATACAATGATAGAAAACTATCAGACACTGAGCTCAATTACTCAGTGTATGAAAAGAAATTGCTAGTGATTAAGCATATACTGATATTATGAAATAGATATATCAACAACAGATATACAATAACAGTGATCACAGATTATAAAAGTCTCATCTATCTATAATCAATAATAAAACCTTTCAAACACTTAGTATGTTGAATCTCAGAGTTTCAAGTGTACAATCTTCATATTAAATACTGAAAGAGTTCAGACACTGTGATATCTGATATAATCAGTCACAGACCTGATTTCATGAGTGAGGATTCTGTGAACCAGGTATAAGAGACATTCATATTAAACACACTGAGAGAATGCAAGGAATCAGAATGAGTGAACACTATGATCTCTCACTTGAAGAATGACAAGATATCAGATAATAAGTATCTTGTAAGAGTAGTAGAAGAGATACTTTCAAACTTCAAGCTGAGAAAATTGAAAAATGACATTGTGCTTTACTGTAATCTAGAATACACAGAAGCTTCCTATCTAGAATCTTCATTTAAATGTGAGTTAATGACTCACATATACAAAGAATTCAGTCACTTAGAAAACCCTGAACTCATGAGCATACTCAAACCAAGAGTATACTGGCCAAGCATGGTCAAGAACATTCAGATATACACTTACAAGTGCCTGAATTGTCAGATTACAACAGAATCTAAGAAAGAGTTAGAACATGAGAAAGTATAACATCAGATGAAGTGTATAATACAACTGTTTAAATAATGAAGAGTGAACCTCATAGATATATTGTCACAGACATCAAATGAAAATCAATGAATAATCACTGCTATTAATTACACTACTGACTGGCCAGTCACAAAAGCAGTTTCAGAGGTAACAGAGAAGATGATGACAAAGTTTCTATATAATGAGATCTATGTCAACTATGAAATGCCACATGAGATTCTAACTGATAATGATGTGAATCTCATAGAAGAAGTGATGAGACATTTCATAAATCAGTTATAGACAAGATATTGTAGAACAATGTCATATCATCTGTGAATGAACAGAAAGATGAAACACTTGAATGAAATCTTGAACAATATGCTGATAAAATATCTAGTGAACAAGCCTACAAGACTATGAGATGAATATCTCAGACAGGCACTACTGGCCACATGAATTCAACAGCATGCAGTCTTCAAGTATTCATCATTCTACCTGTTGTATGAATTGCATCCGCACATCCTGAAGAATGCTTCAGAAAAGATAAGAAAGAGAACAACAGTTGCAGATACAGTAGTAGCAGTTGCAGACACAACAGTCACAGATACAGAACCAAGATTGAAAGAGATCAGCCACACACATGCAAAAGCTAATGAGTTACTCCTGAACTGAGCAATTCAATTAAAAAGAATATGAGACTCACTAGTTAAGAAATCAAGTCTCAAGATAAGAATGTGAGTTCTCATACATAATGAGAGTTCTGAGAAGTTTCAACCTAGGTGATTTGAGCCATATAAAATACTCAAATCACATTCTCTGGAAATGTACACATTGAAAGAATCAGAGAGACAGGTCTTACACAACTTAATAAATGATTTACAACTTATAGAAGCAAATGTACAAGACCTGAGTAGATTATGATTATTCACAGCACTATTATCAGCATTGAAAAAGAAGAGGCTTACAATTGAAAAGTCTCACAAGATAAGAGAAATCATAGACATTTACAAATCAGATAATCTCACTTATTTCAATCTTTTTATAATTATAAGAAAAGAATGAGAAGTAATGAAGAAATCAGATGAATATCACACTTCAATAAGTGATGAGACTGTAGCCAGTTGTACAATAATGCACTGCAGACAGTAGACACAATGCAGTAAAGAGCAGTCTCAAAGCAGCAGACTTGTATGTGAGTCAGATCACAGAAGAAAAAGAAATTCAGAGTTGAATTCAACTGTTTACATCAGTTCAATCACAGAGATTACAGAGAATGAATTATCTGAAACATCTGCAGACACATGAGACCAAGTCATCTCAACCTCTAAAGATACTCAGAGATTGAGTGAGGTTAGTTTCAATGAGCTGTTTACTGTAGTGATCTGAGTAAGCAAAGAGAGACAGTATAATATGTGAGATAGAATTATAAAAGATAAAAGCTGCTGAATCTAGTCACTGAATACTGTACTATATAGAGGTCATGTAAGAGTAGTGACTAGCAGATAAAGAAAAAGTGTAAGAAAAGAAAAGAAA